TAGCCTTTTTCATTTCAAACTCAATTCTTTGGATTTCCAAATTCGAAGGGATATTTCTGATTTGTTCTTCTATCGACCTTGATCCCTCTCCAGATGTTAAAGGTATCTTATCATTTACCCTCCTGATTCTCCAGGCTTCATAATCAGGCGTCAAGATCACATCCGCTCCAACCACTTTAGTCCTAAAAGTCATCCTCCAAGAATCAGCCACATCTTTGATTTTCTTTCTATAATTGCCTTCTTTATAATCAAATTCAGCACCAGTCAAACCATGAGTCACGGGAACAAACTGTCGGGCACCGTACTGTCTCAATATCAACAAAGGAGCGTATCCCACTCCTCCCCACAATCCCAGTAATATAATCCAATCCAAATCTCCACATTTGAACAAGATTTGTGTATGCATCAACCACGGTGTTCGCCATGCTATGTTTTGACTTTGTAGATTCCGGAAGAAATCAATCCATTGATCTTTTTGAGATACTTCAGGCCACTCCTTCGTAAGGTACTCAGCAACAGGAGAATAATCTTTCAAAAAACGGTTATAGTTGACCTTTTCTTCCTTCCAGAAATGGCTTCTGATCCACACAGTAAGCAATTGAGCACAACCCATAAAACGACCTCCCCCCAACCTTCTACATATATTCAAAGATCGGAAAGTTTCAGCAAGAATTGCATGGACTGGATTCACCTCTCTTCCTAACTTCTCAACCAAATCGACTACTGCCAGCTCGATCAATCCCAAACATTTTGGAAAGATTACCAAACCATATATACCCAAAGCAAATACATCTCTACGCACGTTTTCATCTACATGTGCTTCAGCTATCTTTTGTAAGTGAGACCACGGCACTCCCTCACTTTCTCCCTTGCGTTGCAAACGATCATTCACCCATTTGTCGCTTGTGCCGGAGATCTTTGCAAGCTTTGATTTAAAAGAAGGCCCTTTTATCGACCGGGAGTAAACTTTGTCCACTTTAACGCTTGTCAGATTCAACAGAAATTGGTATTCCTCGAGGGTTGGAGTCATGTCCTCTCGGTTGAATGTGAAACAACTATAGGCCGGATTCCAAAACTGTATTATGCTTCGTATGAGAACCGGGTCTACCTTCACGTATATCAGATGAAATATATCCCCATAAGTCTGCTGAAAAGCTTGCCTCTCAATAAGATTCCAACTTTCCCAAATGGTTTTCAATCCCTGAAGCTCATTCTGTTTTAAAGAAGCTGGTGTATAATCAGACAGATCCGACACGTAGTCCCCTGATAGACTATCTCCCTGCTCTTTCTGCTTGGCTTCGGACCAGTTCCTTACATCTGCTGGACTCACTTCTTTGTTTAGAAAACTCCTTTCCATCGTGAAAGTCTTTCCACTTTATCGATACTCACAGATCAATCGCCTTTTCTAATGATATGTCTATGCAGTATGAAACAAATAAACAAAACAAAACAAAACAGTTAGTCAAAACAATTGTATAAATTTAACATAAAAAGATAAGTAAAACGGGAAATAAATCTATTCCATTTATGTATTATCTACCCGAATAATATTCCTCACAAAAAAGGTCCTACCCAAACATGCTCTCTACCCTCCTAAATTAATTAAATTCTAACTGCACCTAAATTCTATTTCACATGCTTTAAAAGAATAAATCTATTCTACACACTCAAAAATAAATAAAATAAAATAAAAAGGTTAGAGGGTTTCTCCATTGCGTGCGCCTATTTTGGGTACCTATTGACGGACAGAGGTTCAGTATGACTCTACCTAGTGTGACCGTTCTATGGTTCACTATATGCATGGTTTCAGCTCTAACAGGAAAAAAAAGGAACTCGAATTGTCCTTGATGTCAGTGCCCCCTTGGGCTACCAAACCCTCAATCCTCACCCATTACAGGTTTCAAACGGACCGAGTTCAATTCGAGGGGATTCACTGCCTTATACCCATACGAGGAATAAATTCCTACGAAGGTATAAGGTATGTATCCCATGGGTTATTTGCTAAAACTCATACGAAGAATAAATTCTTACGAGAGTAAAGCAATCACCCTAACTAATTTGGATCGAAACTCATGTCTAGAGCTCATGTTATGCTAATGAAAGTGATGTGTGTGAGGAGAAACAAACAAACCTTTGACTCAAAAACAGGGAAAATAAAAAACACCCAACGAGAACTAATAAATATCTGGAAAAAAAATGAAAACAATTAAAATGTTAGTATATAAAAAAATAAAGAGATAAAAATAATACATAAAAATTCAATAAATAGATTATAGTTTTACTAAAGATTCGAACTTATAATTTCCACCATAACGACCATATATAAGCGACCGACAGCCTGACTCTCTAGAGGTCCCCAGCGGAGTCGCCAAGCTGTCATAACCATTTTTTTTGTAAAACAATTCTGTATTATTTTAAAAACGATTACGACTTTATTTTGGAAAAATTGGTGATTTTGAACGGATTTGAATAAAATTTAAAAGAGTCGCCATCGACCTTTGGGTTAGGTAGGTCAAATACCTAAAACGTCTTTTAAAAACAATTTTTAAGAAAAATAATTTTATAAGACAAAAATTTGCGTTTACCAAAGATTCAATTAAAATGGATTCGGGAGTCGGTTACGTGTGGGGAAGGATAAACACCCCCAAAACGCCCAAAATCGGTACTGTGTCGCTTACACATTGTCGTAAATGGTGGAAATTACAATTTGAGTATGAAGTAAGAATATGATCTAATTATTGAATATTAGTTAAAATAATAGAAATACTTCACTTGGTAAGAAATCTCGAGATTTGCAATCCTCCAACGGGAAAGCTATCTCATCTATTTCTCATCTATAAAGTATATCCTATCTTTGAATTACCACTAAATAATATCATCATGAGTAGAAAATAAAACATGCTTAATTTATGTATCGTTAATATCAACATAACAACCATTAATACAATAAAAATTATGAAAATAGAATAATAAATAAATTATGATCTATTTATTGAATATTAGAGCAAAAAAAAAAAAATAACAATAAAATAATTTCTATAAGCTTGTAAAAGGAAGAATTTGCATTTTTTATTCTGTTCGAACGTCGTATCGGATTGTACCACTTCGATCAAGTGATACTTTCCACGCCCGTTCTATAAATATGTGTTCTTGAAATTATTCGAATAATATACAATAGAGAAATACAATGGGAATAAATATAAATAAAATATGCGACATAGAATCTTTACATTAAATGAAACAAACAACATTATTTACATAATACAAATAACCAAATAACAAAATCATATAAAACTGACTACAATAAAAATAAGTAAATATTACAAATTAAGATAAAATGATCAAAAAGCAAGTAAAAAGGACTAGAATAACAAACACATAAACTCAAAGAGCCAAAATGGTAAAATCAGGAACTTAAAGGACTACAATGAAAGAAACAGAAAATAAAAATTAAAATAGCAATTTCAGATAAATCAGAGTCCATACTAAAAAATACTAAATAGCATATGTACTAAGCTAAAAATAAACCATAAATCATGTACAGGACTAAAATGAAAAAAAAAACAGGAACATAAGGATTCAACAGCAGTTAAACCAATTTCCACATGATGATTAAATTACAACACTTATAAATGCCGTGACCAAAATCAAATGTTAATAGAAATGTCATAACAAACAATAACAGTACTAAGTTATAAGTTCTGAAAACTTATTGCTCGAAATCAAAGAAATTATCATTTCATTTAATGGTCTAACAATATGATTACAAGACCCTAGGGACTAAAAGTGTAGTTAACCCACACGAGGAAAATGCAGAACCTTCTTTCTAAAACACGGCCGTTTCACAGGGGGCATTAAAGCCCTAAAACGAGATTGGCCCTCATTCCCTCATCTCTACTTCTTCCCTTCTTAAAACAGAGAGCCAAAGAATGCTCTCAAAGTTCTCCCTCTCCGCCTCTGTCTCCGCCGTGGAGAGAAAAAAAAAAAAAAAAGGCCACGGCCGCCGCAGCCAGCGGCGATGGCTTGAGAGATCAAACCACGACCAACCCTCCTCTCTTCCTTTGAACAAATAACCTTTCTCCTACCCCAAGCAAAAAAAACCGAAAACCCCTATCCGAAAACCCTAGATCCAAAATAAGGGACAGTTTACCTTCAATACGGCCTTCTCTGTTCTGGCTAGGCTACAACGACGAGGTTTTCTACAAGGGTAAGATCTCCTTCACTTTGTTTTTTTTTTAGCCCTCCCTCTCTTTTTCTGGTTATCACCGCCCTCTTTTCTCTTCTTTTGTCTTTTATCTTTTCTTGCATGTGGATTTCCCTTGAGATCATGATGATATCTAGGTAGATAGCCTTTGATTTCTCTGATTTAGGTGAATAAAATCCCGATTTTTCGGGATTTTCGGGTGTTATTTTAATGGGTTTTTAGATTTGGTAAGTTTAGGCCACTATTCTTTGATTTGGTTACTGTTTTTACAGGGACCGGTCACTGTTTGATGGATGGATTCTTCACAGCTCCGATGACAGCGGCGGTGAGGGAAGCAGCCAGCTTGACCGGCTGGGCAAATGAAGGTCCAACGGCTGTGGCGGCTGAGGCAGAGAAGGGTCACACGGCGGCTGGAAGGGGATTAGTGTTGAAACCCTAAATTGATTTAGGGTTTGAAACCCTAAATTGATTTAGGGTTTGAAACCCTAAACTGATTTAGGGTTTGAAACCCTAAACTGATTTAGGGTTTGAAACCCTAAACTGATTTAGGGTTTGAAACCCTAATCTGATGGGTTGTTGGGGACCGGGATTGGGCCAATGTAATCTGAATTGGGCTTAGGGTCTCTGGGCCAAATGGGCTTCGGGTTGTTGGGCCTCTGTAATCTGAATTGGGCTTAGGGACTAGGCCTGCAAAAATTGTAATAATAAATAATAATAAAATAATAATATAATGATAATAATAATAATAATAATAAAATAACGGAAAAAAAAACCCGGACAAAAACGGGTGTTTACAATGTCAAATGCCTTGAATGCCATACTTCCCATAGCAAAGGAACTGAAGCATTTTGCACTTCAAACGGGGATGAGTAATTATGTAGCTTCCAATGGGAAAATGATTCAGTTGTTCGACGAAGAATGGGTGAGACCGAGTGGGACCTCCAACTTTTACTATGCCCTTGAAGATTGCTCCATGCGAGATTGACTGGTAAGGTGGCTTGGACTGTGCATAGACCTGGGTTGTTGATGGGTGGCTCCAACAGGGCTTTGTTTAATTTCATAGGGAGTTTATGTGTTTACGGTGCTATTTGTAAACATTTGAACCTCCCTTTTGTGTTTGGAGGGACAAGTGAGTGCTGGGAAGAGAGTTATATCGATGGCTCCGATGTGAGACTCGTTGCCGAGCAACAGATTTGGGCAGTCACCACCGCATGTGGTGATGGGGTGTGTTCATATGGCCAGGCGTTTAATGCAATCAATGGTTCGAGTTTTACCTGGAAGGAGATATGGCCAATACTGGGAAAGAAATTTGGAGTTAGAGTGCCGGAAGAGATGTTTTTGGAGGGTTTTTGGTTTGAAACCGCCATGGGAGACAAGAAGAAAGAATGGGAAGAAATCGTGGTGAAGGAAAGGTTGGTGGAGACAAAGATGGAAGATTTGGCGAATTGGGAATTCTTAGACAACTTGTTTCGGTTCCCGACCAAACTGTTGGGGTCACGAGCTAAGGTGGATGCCCTGGGTTTTACGATGAGATGCAACACCCTTGAGTCAATTTCGTATTGGATTGATTTCATGAGAGATGAAAACTTCGTTCCCTAGACCTTTTTCAAACTTTCTTCTAGGGATATACCTAGTGGAGCGCCGGTGGGGATGGTGGTTTACTCCACTACAAAAATTAAAATCTTATATATTTTAAATATTTTTGTTATTTCTATTAAAAATATTTCTTTCTAAAATTTTATAAATTCGTCTCAACTAACGTAAAATTTTGTATTCCTTTTTGTTTCTTCCCATATTCCTAAAGTAAGCTAACATTGTACATCTTATTATTTATTATACACAACCTCATCAATTTAATCTTCCCAATTCACATGCATTATATTTGATCATATTCCAAACTACAAATCCGTTAAAAGTTTAACGAAAGTTAACTCTCAATGACCACATCTTAACTAAATAAAAATGAAATTGACTAAATCATATATATTTTAATCAAATAAAAAAAGTATACAAAACTCAAACGAAAATGATCAATCTTATATTTTACCCTAAATAAATTTAAATGTTAAACAATCTTCAACCATTTGAATTAAACTAAAATCTTTATCGATTATTATTTGGGTCAAAATATAACATTTTATTATACGTTAAATTATGAGATAGAGAACTTAAAATAAGGTCAATTTATTTGGGAACCATTCCTTAATTGAGAAGGATCCTTTTTTAAATGTTATAGGACTTAATGATCGAACAAGATAGTTGTGTTCTCATTGTAATTTGACAAAACACTATAATAAACACTAATATAAAAATACTAATATACTCTTAAAACATAAATTAATCTGCACTTTTTAAAATCAAAGATCTTGCTTTTCTAAAAGAAAAAAGAGAGAGAGAGAACCAATATCTTGATTTAGACTAAAAAATAGATTATGACATTAAAACAAAATATTACAAAATCGAAATTTATGCCCCCTTTGGCTCCTTACGAGAGAAATAAACATGACGTAATTCCTTGTCGGTCATAAGATCATGGGATTCATGACTGCATAATGATTATAATCTAATTTAATCTAATTGATTAATAATATTTAAAAGGAACTATTTTTTAAAAAATCTTAAGTTCAAATAATTGTTTTTACGGATGTATATAAATTATCAATTTATAAAATTATTTTTAAACATATATTATCTTATAGTCATTTTGAACTAATAAAAAAATATTCAAAAGTCCTATTCTTTCTCACAAAACATCAGGGCAGGAGTAATCTATTAGTTTTTTTCTTTAATTATAAAATTAATTATTTAAAATTAAAAGAATATAGGCTTATATTTATAACTTTTTGAATTAATTAATAATTTCAACTTGACTCATTTCAAATAAGCTAAAATGATTGAATATAAGCGACGTCTTAATATAAATTCAAAAAAATATTAGTATTCATATACTTTCACTGTTATTATCTAAAAAAAAGTCGTGTATGTTTAATATTACAATTAAAATGTTGAATTTCTCGACATAAAAAAATATTTTTTTTCCTTTACCAATTTATAGTAGTTTATTTGATGTCTATTTTATTAATTTAATAAAATTTATTTTGGTTTTTATATTTTATATTAGGTTATAATTGGAATTTTTATTTGTTTTATTTACATGTAGGAAGAAGTCAAAATTGCACATAAGGAGAAAATTTTAACAAGTTATAATAAAGGAATGTATAGGTTAGATTTTATCATTGATTCGATACAAAATATTGAAAAGACAATTATTAATACAAAGGGTCAATTTGAAAAGTAATTTAAAAGAAGAACAAAGACTAAAATGATGAAGATTGAATTTATTGAATTATCTCCGATTAAACTGATAAATTACCAAACTCACCGGTCTGACAAAGAGAATGTGATGTCAACTACGAAGTGTCCCAGTCAACATTTATGGAATTTCTATGTTGAATTTTTGTATTATTATTTTTCGTCCATCCAATTTCTATCCATTCTATATATAAAAAAAATCTGAATGCTCCACAAAATATAATGGTGTTACTTGATTTATCTTCAACATTTATTTTGTTATATTAATATTTGATTAAATATTAAAATTAATGCCATATATAGATTTAGATTCTATACAATTTACAATAAAATTACAATTTAGTTTAATTTTTATAAATTATTAAAATTATTATTAACAAAGTTTTATTTTTTATTTAAATATTACATATGGGAATAATTTTAGTAAAAACTTAAAGGTTTTATATATGACATGTCTCTAGCTTCGTTGATGGAATCTTTTATAAAAAAAATGACGAAAAAAGTTTGTATTTCTATTTTTTTTTAAAAATACATTTTGTATATTGATTAAAACATACTATATAAATTAGAATTGACTTGTTTCATCATTCAAAAATAAATAAAATGTTGAATCAACAATGGATTAAACATAACATAACCAACAAGGGTCGGTTCAAGTAGTAAGTAGTTTGATATCGTTTAAATAAGATCTCGAGTTTGAGTCGTTGTGTATACATAAAATCTCTGTTGGAAGACTCACCTACCAAAACTAAGTATACGATGTGGGTTAGTCCAGATTATCAAGTCGAAGTCTTAGTAATAGGGGAAAAATGAATTAATCATAATCCCTAATAATAATGCCAAATGGTTCTCAAATCATAATAAAATGGGTTCAATTATTAACTGTCTAATCATGATTTTAGTGTTTTTTTATTGTGATGAAACTGATGACATTACATTTTAGTTGTTTATTTAAGTTAACATTCAAAGTTATGTGAAAATTCATTTAATAATAAACTTATCTATTAAATGTTAAAAGTTGTTTTTATTGACAACAATTAATATTATTATCAATATGAGTATACTAATAACATTATAAAAATAAATAATTAAATTATGTCAACTTAAAGTGTATGGATTAAATTATAATTTCAGCATAATAGGGGATTGAAACGAAAATAGACCAATTATGAACTATTTTTTCGCGTTCACGTCTTCCAAAAAGAGTTTCAATTTTGTTATTAAAAATAACCTCATAAATCATCGGATTTCAAATTTACATGCATTTTGTTCTATTCCAAACTGACAAAATCACAATCGTAGGTTCACGTGCTACTTCAATTAAGTGGGTTTTTTAGAAAAATAATAATTAGACATTAATATAATAGGTATCACATGATAATATATTATATCACGTATATAAATTATGAGATATCAAATAATTGTGTTTCTTAAAGGCGTACGCATTGTTATTGAATATTATATAAAACTTTGTTTTCATATTATAAATTATCATTAAAAAGAATAACAGAAGAGAAGAAAGATTTTAATGTGATTGGGAGAGAGACGAGGACCGATTGACCCCGAGCAAATAATCTCTCGGGTGACTTATTCGAATAATTTTTTATCGACTGTATATTACTAAAAATCACCCCTTTTTGGTTATTCTAATCTTGATTCGAGAATTTTATCCTTTTTACTTCACATTTGGCTTGATAGGAAAGTAAAAATTTGAATCGATTACATTATTGTTTCAATATTTATGATGATCTGAATAAGAAAAATATGACTTAGAATTCAGAATTTTCAAACATATATGTAGAAACATGCATATGGATTAAATTATAATTTCAGCATAATAGGGGATTGAAACGAAAATAGACCAATTATGAACTATATGCCACTCCACTAAAAAATCTTCCCCACCGCAATATATATGTATATGTTTTATATAAATATGTGTGGAAACATGCAAGAAAACCCATCTTCTAAACCATGAAAAGTCATTTATTTTTTCTGTTTTTTTCTTGTTTACACTAGCCCATGGATTGAACACCAAATGTGAGACTCGAGACCGAGGTTCAGACCTCCAAGTGTTCCACATTTACAGTCCCTGCTCACCCTTCAGACCCTCAAAGCCACAGTCATGGGAAGAGGATGTGCTCCAAATGCAAGCCAAGGACCAGGTCAGGCTCCAATATTTGACCAGCCTTGTGGCCAAGAAATCCGTGGTGCCAATAGCTTCCGGCAGGCAGCAGATTGTGCAGAGTCCAACTTATATCGTGAGAGCCAGCATCGGAACCCCATCTCAAACCTTGCTAATGGCCATGGATACCAGCAACGATGCCGCTTGGATACCTTGCACCGGCTGCACCGGCTGCTCCTCCACTGTTTTCGAAAATGCTAAATCCATCACTTTCCACACCCTCGGCTGCCAAGCTCCTCAATGCAAGCAGGTGCCAAATCCCAGCTGCGATGCCACTGGCAACACTTGCATATTCAACATGACCTACGGTGGTTCCACCATTGCTGCAAACCTTTCACAGGACACAATCTCCTTAGCCACCGACTCTGTCCCGAGCTACACTTTTGGCTGTCTGCGGCAGACGACCAGCAACTCGGTGCCACCACAGGGTCTGTTGGGGCTGGGTCGAGGTCCATTGTCCCTTCTGTCTCAGACCCAAGACTTGTACCAATCCACATTCTCTTACTGTTTGCCTAATTTTAGGTCCTTGAACTTTTCTGGGTCATTGAGACTTGGACCAGTTGGGCAGCCATTGAAGATCAAATCCACCCCGTTGCTGAAGAACCCTAGGAGACCATCGCTTTACTTTGTGAATCTGATTGGAATTAGGGTTGGAAACAAAGTTGTTGATATCCCACCATCTGCCATTGCTTTCAATCCCACCACCGGTGCCGGCACCATTATTGATTCCGGTAATTTCTTACGTCAAATGTAACTATAAAGCTTCATTTAAAATTGTCGCATTTAAACTTGTCCATTAAACTTTAGGTACCGTCTTCACCCGGCTAGTCGAACCAGCCTATGTCGCTGTCCGAGATGAGTTTCGGAGACGTGTTAAGGTTGCCAACGTGGCATCCCTCGGAGGATTCGACACATGTTACAATGTACCGATAGTGGCACCGTCTATAACGTTGATGTTTGCCGGCATGAACGTGACACTGCCAGAAGATAACCTGTTAATCCATAGCACAGCGGGCAGCATCACATGTTTGGCGATGGCATCGGCACCAAATAATGTGAATTCCGTGCTGAATGTGATAGCCAATATGCAGCAACAGAACCATAGGATCCTTTTCGATGTGCCCAATTCGAGATTGGGCGTTGCCCGTGAGCTCTGCACCTAAATACCATCTCTGCTTGGGCAATTCGATTATTCGTCTTCTGTTGGTGTAACGTGATTGTTTTTAAAGTTTTTAATATATATATAAATTTAAATAGATTCGTAGTATTAAACATGCTTAAAAACACAATACATGAAACCAGAAATTCGATACAATAATCTATGCAACTCGGGATGAATATCGGATGCAGATATGTGTAAGAGATTCTCAATTTGTCTGAAACAGAATCAATCTGAACAGAAGGGATGTGAGCAATGTTGTCCCAGTATTTCCCTCCATTCCTTCTGCAACTTTCTTTTAACAATGAGCAGCCATGGATATAAAACCCCCAACAATGACATAATCTTGTCTTTTTTGGGCGAAGATTTGAGCTTTGGAAGTTTAACAATGGAAGGTTTTGGAAGGCAGGATTTCGACATTGGGGAAATCACTGATGGCAAGTATGCTTAGCGAACAAGGTAATTACCCCATCAGATTATCCACCATGGATGGTTAGTCTTTTAAGAGAAGTGAGTTTACAGAATCCCCAAGGAATCAGTCCTTCAAGAATTTCAGATTTTGAGATTCAAGATCGTGGAAACCTTCTTAAGGAAAGGGTACCAAACATGTACAAAATTATATATATAATTAAATCGAAATTGAATTATTAATTTATAAAATTAGAATTTAGTTGTAGATGAAATTTCATATATAGTTTTATATTTATGCTATAATAGTTTTATAGAAAAGTGCAAGTTACTTTATTTCTGTCATTCAAATTTCTTTTCACTTCTATTTTAATCATTTAAATTTAAAAAAATTCAATTTAATCACCCAAATTTTGAATCATTCTTGTTTTGGTCAAATTGTAGTTAAATAATTAACGATGTTAGAATGTGAAAATTTATACACATCGTTTGGATCCCTATAGAAAACCAAATTTACATGAAAACAAGGCATTTGTGGATCCCTATTGAAAACTATTTTTTCTTTTTCTTCTCATCTTCTTTCTTTATTTTTCTTCCTCTCATTTTCTCTCTCTATTTCTTTCACTCAATCTAAACCAAACCCAAATTTCGACCATCTTCGTTCAGGCGACTACCAACCATCATTGTTAAAGGCTAGCGAGTGTAAAAATTTCTCACCAAATATGTGTCACCCTTCTAAACACAAATTTGATGTTCGTTTAATCAAAAACACCCTAAGTTTTGCGAATATGTCATCTAACAACTTCAATCTGTTGAAACATCACCAGTTGATATTATTTTCGACCAACAATAATATCATCTAACTGAACTTTCTTCCTCTACAAATATTTTAGTTTAATTTCTCATAAAAACTCTATAAAAATCTCAAGATTTCTCATGAACTTTCAACCTTTCTGCTTCACCGATGTGACTATCAGACATCATGATTTTGAGATATAGTATTTTCTTCACTGACATTCATCTTTTCATTGTTGGAATTTTTCATTCGGCCACTAAAGCATTAAAGGTAAAAATGAGATTTATGTGAACATGAGTTATGAGCTTTAAGGTTTGGCTGTTATTTATGTTTTGATTGAGATTTGTGATTTTAGGTTTAAAGATTCACACGAACTAAGTGACATCAGTGGTTAAAAAATTATTGATATTCCTTGAGGTTTGAGTTTGAGAATCACGTATGCATGAATATGAGTATTCAATGTCAAATTGTTGAGAGTCTTTAAACAAATACTACCTTATATTACCTCAGACTAATTTTTTTAAAAAAAGTTTATGGATTTAAGTGAAATGAAGATTGGATTTGGATTTTGAATAACGAAATAGTCTAGTCTAAAAAAAATTGGGTTTAACTATCATCGAAAATGACGATCGATGCGTTGACTAATCTAAAACATTAATAAAAATATCAAGTTAGCACATAGTTAGATAGAGAAACGGTTGAGTGGCTATATAGGAATAATTCAAAAGTTTAATGATTAAATTAAATATTTTAAACTTTATTGATCAAAAATAAGAGTGAGAAGAAAATTGGGTGATGATTTTTGTAATTCACCCTATTGGAAAAAACCGACTTGGAGTTGTAGACTGGGCAGGTTGAAGATTATGTGAATTTATATGGGTAAACTATAAATATGGTACTTTATATTTTCAGCATGATCAATTTTGGTCACCAATTAAAAAAAAAGAGTGGTTTTAGTCCATTATTTTATCGGTCTATTTGATTTTAGTCTCTCAACCGTTATCTACCGTTATTCACTTAACAAAATGTTACATGAAAATTATTATTTTTTAAAATAAGAAGACACCAACGTGGATTATTTTAAATTTTTAATTATCATGTAACACTTCCATCAAAGAATTAATGGAAGTTAACGGTTAAGGGACTACAGCCGAAGGAATCAATAACATAAGGGTTAAAACTGAACCAATCAATAACATAAGGGATTAAAACTACTCTTTTTATGAACTGGTGACCAAAATCAGTTAGACCAAAAATATAGGGACCATCCGTACAGTTTACATGATTTATATTTATCCTAAAATGGTAGCAGCTTGCATTGCATCAGTCATATTCAAAATAAATTATATTTGCTTTGGGTCTCCCAAATCCCTTTGATTCTACCATTTCCTACCCAACATTTCCATCACCAAACCCAAATCAATGGAAGTTAAACGCCGAACCGCTCGGAATCTGGTAGCCAAACTAAGCTCAGTTTCCGAGCAGACCCGAACCGAAGCTTTGTGCGAGTTACGCCTAATTTCCAAACATGATCCCGAGAGTCGACCAATAATTGCTGATGCCGGAGCCGTTCCTTACCTCTCCGAAACGCTTTACGATTCTTCTCCAACCATTCAGAAAGCGCCGCTGCCACTTGTTGAATCTCTCCATTACTTCGCGCGCTTCTCTCATGTCCACCCGCGGCTTCCTCGACGCGTTATCTCACGCGCTCGGTAATTCACCTTCTCCTTCCGCGGTTCAGGCCTGCGCCGCCACGCTTCACAGCCTTCTCATTGCGGAGGAGTCTTACCGTCCGATAATTGGGTCGAAACGTGATATTCTTTACTCACTGTTGTCGATCATCACTGCAAACAACGCGCCGCCTCGGTCGATTAAGGATGCTTTGAAGGCTTTGTTTGGGATCGCGCTCTACCCGTTGAATCGGGCCAGTTTGTTGGGTCTCGGTGCCGTTCCCGCTTTGGTGGCATTGATAGTCAGGGATGCGAGGACGGGGATCGTGGAGGACGCCACGGCGGTGCTGGCGCAGATTGCGGGGTGCGAAGAGAGTGAAGAAGCAATAAGAAGGGTGGGTGGGATTAGGGTTTTGGGTGATTTGTTGGATGAAGGGACTGGAGCCAGTGAAAGAATAAGAGAAAACGCAGTGGCGGCTCTGCTGAACTTGGCTCGCTGCGGCGGCGAGAAGGGGAGGAAAGAAGTTAGGGATATGTGTGCTAAAGTTATCGAAGGGATTACTGACTTGACGAAGAATGGAAGTGCTAAAGGAAAGACTAAGGCAGTCGAATTGCTGAAAATCATTGTTGATGGAGATGTGAACGCAAGAGAGGTGAGGGATTTTAGGTCCAGTAATTCCTTCGATTCCATGAACCATTCTATATGAAGTGCTTCCCATTTTGATCCTTTTGTTATAGATTAGGCTAATATTTGTTTCAAGTGTATACGTCTGATGCATTGATAGCGGGCAATTTCTTATTCAAAACAGTAAATTATATGTTTGCCATCTCATCGAAGTTGCTAATCGGAAATAAACAATATTAGGAGATGATGATGAGATATCAAGTTGTTTTAGGGATTAGGGATTGGGGTTTATTCATTTGTTATACAAATTAAGCAGTGATATGGCGTCCTTTGGCATAATATATCCCTCATGGTGTAAATTTGATAGCAAAAAAAATAAAGGGAAATACGAGTTTATGATCAATGTTGAGTCTATTTTTCTTTTACCTGTTCGAGATTATTTATGCGAATGGCCATACTTTTGCTGGTTGTTTATACATTTAAGATTGTAAATCAGACCTTAGGGATACTTTAAGCATGTTATTCTTCACCTATATGCATACTAGATAGGAATATCTCTATGATGCATTCTACAAATAAGTGAACCTGTGAAAAAGTTTCCTCGGAAATTCGGTAGACTCATAATTGATGGTCATTGCTGCTTGATTTTTGTCCTGTATTTATTTATCTTTCTATAGAGAGAGATTATTTTGATGAAATATTGTAGCTTATGGATGTTCACTACAAACCTGGCTCGACTTTGGTAGGTTAGAACTTGTTGTTTGTACAATGTTTTCGGATTTAGACAGATTATCGGTTGTTGAGAATGATTAAAGATCAATATCTGTAGAATGTCTGGAGTGTTTTGTGTATTTCAAGCTAATCCCTTCAAGCCTTTTCTAAGAAAATCCTTTTCAGAATATTAATCTTGGTCTGCATGTAGCAACCCTTGAGAGATTACATTCCAACATTTTTAGGGTGAGTCCTAACACTTGCAACCCTTCATTAGTGGAGTTGAACAAGTCAAAGGTAAATCAAGCATTCAAATGAGAATATTAATTTATCCCTGAAATTCCTCCCGTGTAGGTTTAGTTTGACAGCAGAGTAAATCCCCTGTTTTGTTGTATTTTTTGTTTGGTGTCTTTAAGTTGGCCTGCACTCAGGTTTTTTAAAATCGAAACCTAATCTGATGAATGATTTTGGCATTCAAGCGGATTTATTACTATTAGTGTTTTGTGTTTGTTTTAATTTCTAGGTCTTTGTTTCTTTAGTTTTAGAAAAAGAATAGCTTATAATAATTCATATATGTCAAATTGGCTTTTGAAATAGAGAGATCCATCATTTTCGTATCTGCAACTGTCTTTCTCAAAATCAACTTTATTTACAAGTGCGGTTGTTTTCACACGCCCCCTTTTTAGCGATTGATCTTTTATAAATAGATGAATATAATAAATATTTATAAAAATATTCTTTAAAATTACGTTCACATTTATCTATTGCAATTAACAACGATTTTTTGCTTTTGTTTTTCTAACCTACCTCCAACCCACTACACGCCTTTAATTTATTTCTTAATTTGAAAAATA